ATTTCATGTTATAGGCATGGTTGGGGAGTATGATGTGAACGTACAGAAGGAGGAGTTCTCTTGTAGGGCATGGAAGCTCTCTGGAATTCCATGTAGACATGGAGTTGCATGTTTAAGACATGAAAGAATTAAACTAGAGGATGTTGTCAACAAGTGCTACAACATTGATGCTTTCAAAGCTGCTTATGGCAAGATCATAATGCCATGTAGTGATCCTAGAGTGTGGCCTAAAACTAATGGGCCTCAAATGCTGCCACCACACTATGAGAAGAAAGTTGGTAGGCCTGGAAAGAAGAGAAAGAAGAACCCACTAGAGGAGGACAATGGAACTAGGATGAGCAGACATGGCATTATTGGACACTGCAGTGTGTGCAATCAACCAGGACACAACAAAAGAAAGTGCCCTGAACTAGGTAGAGGACAACCAACAGCAGCACATGAGGCAGGAGTAGAACAGGAGCCAGCAGCAGAAGAGGCAGCAGCAGAACATGATCCAACAGCAGAACATGCAGCAACAGAACATGTGCAAACAACAGAACATGTGCCAATTCAGGTTGTGCTTCCAGAAACACAGCAAAGAACTAAACTACCAGTCAAGAGAAAGCCCAGTTGCAAGGTGCATTTCCCTTAAATGTTTTCCTTAAATGCTGTTGAAAACTAAAATTGCAATAGTCAACAACATTTCTTATTTTTTTTGCAGAAAAAGGCATGTCCACAAGTGGGCAAAGGTACATCTAATATGTGATATCTTCTTCTATGAATTATGATCTTGCTTCATCTACTGTGATTGAGATTTTACAGGACCAAGTGAGAGCTTTTTATTCAAATGCAATGTTAATAAATGCAATGCCATCTGTTCTTCCAGAAATTCACCTACATTACTAACTACATGTTTGGTTGGTTTGTAGGATATAGCTACTCAACAATCTCAAACAGCAGTGCCATCTCCTCTACCAGAAAGCCAGTTCATTGCAAACTACATAGATGCCCTGCCACCTCCAAGAAGCCATACTACTGCTACACTAGGTTTGAAGAGAAGGAAGAAAGTGAAAAAAAACCTAAGGAGAACAAAGCCCCAACAACTCAGAAGTGAAGAGCTACAAAGATGTTATGGAAAGAAGCAGTGTAGGATGTTTTTCTTTTGCTTAGGAAACAAGATGGTTTGTAATGAAACCTCATGCTGAGATGTGGCTTTGGGTTTCACACAAACCATGGAAATGTAATACTTTTGTTGCACAACTTCAAGACCTTGTAATGTTGGGTCCATCTATCTATCTTTCAGACTGCTTTTAAGTTCAATTACTAGTAAAAGAAAGGCCTTGCATATTACTGTTTATTTGTGCTGTCAATGCTAGTAAAAAATGCTGCCAAAGTACAGAAAACAACCAAAATGCTGCCAAATTTTAGTTCAATTTCATTGCAACAGTACATCATCAACATCTGGATACATCAACAAGCATTGATCACTGGATACATCATACTACCACATCACTTCTTAAATCCTACATACACCACAACTACAATCAGTACAACAAGTGCACTGAGAATACTCCTACAGAGAAAAATGAGCTCATTCATCTTCTGCATTGCTTCTGCATATGCCACAATCTCGACAGTGCTCTGCATTGCTCCTGCACAAGCCTCTTGCACATCTGTTTCTTCACTTGCAATGACACCAGCCGAATCAAAACTGCTCAATCCACGGCTGACATACCCAGCTCTCACCAAAAAATCAAAATAGTTGTCCGGTCCATCTTCCCAATAATAATGTTGGCAAGGATTTGGTGGAATCTGACAGAAATTGAGAAAAAAATTCAGCCAAAAAGAAACACAGAAACATCAAATCGATTGGGCACTTGTAGAAGATCTTACATGGTGATTGGGGCACTTGTAGAAAATCCTGCCAGGATTTGCCTCCGATTTTGACACAAGACGAATTGTAGACCGAATGCGGCAGCTAGGGCATGGTACCAACGGCAGCATACCCGCAGCAGCCATTGATGAGATGGGCGGCGAGAAAAGGGCTAATGCCGGAGGTGGAGCAGGCGCTTGGGCAGCCTTCTTCCCACGGTGCTTCACGGCAGACGAGCTAGCGGCGGGGACATGGCGGCGACGGCGCGGCGCCAGAGAGAGGGAGAGAGCGAGCAGAAGACCTAGGGACCGGGGAATGAAGAGAGCATAAACTCCAGGGGCCAAACTGCTTAAATTACCAACCTCCAACCGCGGGAACTCTCCCGCGTGGGCCCTCGAGTCGACGTGGCAGCGGTCAAAGCGCCACGCGAGCTGGTCAGCAGCGGTCAGACGAAATTAAGACCTCGAGTGAACAACTTAGAAAAAATAAGGACCCAGATGTGCATTTTGAAGGAATTAGGACCCAGTCGACACTTTTGAGAAAGAATTAGGACCGCGCTTGTATTTTACTCTACTACATAATTCATCTATGTATAATCTACAGTATATACCATCGCCCACGACCAAATTTACGCCCGTCTTGGGGAGGAAATTCTCCCCATGTCGCTCGCTCGTTTTGCACAAGAGCGCCTTCCTCTCAAATCTCAACTCCACTCCCATCCCATCAGAAGACGTCCCATCAGAACTCCTGCTAACGCGGCACATGAGCGGCACAAGCAACACTTTGTAAATGGCCTTGCCATTCTAGCCCTTTTCCTTAAACTTATAATTTCAAATATCTTTCTCAAACTCGATACTCTGAGATAGAACGAGAAAAAGGCCGAGACACCCTCAAACCCCATTTTATTCTAGAAAAGGGGATCAACACTGCTCGTATAAATGGAATGAAATTTCTCGAATTTCACACAGGAGATTGCGCTTCCCTGCTTTAGGAGTTTCTTCCACCAGTGTGCCTATAGGGAGATAATAACTCTCCTAAAACCCGTATTTGCAGTTAATTGTTAATTGGGAAGTGGCATTTCCAACTAAGTACTCTCTCCGTTCCTAAATATTTGTCTTTTTAGAGATTTCAAATGGACTATCACATATGGATGTATATAGACATATTTTAGAGTGTAGATTCACTCATTTTGCTCCGTATGTAGTCACTTGTTGAGATTTCTAGAAAGACAAATATTTAGGAATGGAGGGAGTAGAAAACAACACTAGAGTGTGACCCTCACAGCCCATGCACAATGGCGCAATTATCAAGGGCGCGTGTCAAGAGGGGTGTAGAAAGGAGAATCTTACGAAACCCTACATTTTAGCCCTGTTCGGTGTCACTCCGCTTCTGGAGCTGGCGGAACTGCAGTTGAAAATGACGGAGCTGCAGTTCCCTCGCTCCGCGGATTCCAGGAATTGGTGGAGTACCGAACAGGGTCTGTCTTTAATTCAACGAGGAGGATGGGACAGCCTTATTTGTTTATGTCAATGACAAAAAGCTATGCATATTAATCAATCGAACTCGTTAAATTTTGGGGGTCTAAACTTTGTTGCACCCTGCCCCTAAAACTTTAACTCCCTGTAATTCTTCACCAAAAGTAAAATAAATAAATAAAATCTAGCTATTCAGAGCAGTGCAGGCGGGAACTCTGAAGTTACGGGCGACACTGGAAATAGTACTGTTCCAGAACACTGATTCACCCCCAAGACGATATTAGTACTAGGTCAAGTTAGTAGAGACCATGCTAACTGTTCGCTTCTATGTTTTGCATGCTGGCAAACAAGTACTTCGCCAAAAGAAAAAAAAAGTACTTCCTCAATTTCCGGGCCGACTCCCAACGGCAAGAAAGAAATACCCTGTGGAGAAAATAACTAGAGTGCATTAGGACATAAACAGTGGAGCAGCGAATGACACCTGAATTTTATACTTCCTCCATCCCAAAATAAGTGCCTCAAGCTTAGTATACAAAGTTGAGACATTTATTTTGAGACGGAGGGAGTAGGATAAAGCATTCACATTCACACATTGCATCTGGAAGTTGAAATCTCAGACACGATTTGGACAAGGTAAGTATGACATTATTTGAATTCCACAAACAAAATAGAAACGCTTCATGTATGGTTGGAAAAAGATTCATTCATAGGGGACAATACAGCACTTCCTTTATCTAGGAAGAGGAGCAAAGAGAAGAACTGTTTCGCTGGCAACTACAGTGACCTGACCCATCGCTGAAATTTTGTAGTACATAAACAATCAATGACAAGCTTGTTATATGATTCTCACAGCTACAGATAATATTAGGGCCCAATCCAAGGCACCCGCAACACAATTCTAACGCATGGAAGACTACAAATGTCCACAACATTGTTAACCTGACTACCTATCAAAATATGCAGCATATTACTTATGAAGAGAATTCTTGCCACTCATTATACGCCTTGCCTCTTGTATATTACTAATAGTGTTACAAAGAATAGTGCCGCTAGCATTTTTTTAAAATGACTAGGGAGTTTTACAGCTAGGCAGAACATGACTGGCCATAGCAGCAAGGTTCGGAGTCGGGACAAGATTCAATTCTCTCCCGATTTCCTTTGTAATTATATTGAAGTTTCAAATTCAAACAACAAATAAGAGGAGGCTGCAAAAGACCACACAGTAACATCAAATGACATGTCCTACACAGGAACATTGTAGCTCCCAGCCGTCAACAGAGAAATCTGCAGTATGAATTTAAGGTGGCATTAGAGCATGTTATATAAATTGATTAAATCATGTTGGAACTGTTTCTCAGACAGGGTAACCAAGCTGGATATGAAAATGTACTGCGACATACTTGCTGATACACTCTAGAGTTTGCATTTCCGAGTGATTATTCTGGTATAGCAAAACCTATGCTACGCTATCAAAATAACAGATTTTTTTTTTCTAGAAATTGATCCCAGAACGTTGAATTTACCACTTAAACTTATCTTGATTAGCAAATATACTGTATTAAGATTTCTGAGTACCGTACAGGATTATCGGTTGATCATTAATTCGACTGCAAAATAACATTCATATTCAATTAGCCTTTTAGTGAAACACATACGTGAACTTCCCAAGGAGCTTAGGCACTAGTTTTTTGCTCAATGCAACTCCCTGAAGGTTCTGCATTCTTTACAATCCATGGATGCTTCAAAATATCGTCAAGAGAAATCCTCTTGCTTGAATCCTTCACTAACAGCTGCATACAAACTTCATACTCTCAACTTCATCTCCTTAGGATATAAGAACCCATTATCCAAAAAAAAAAAAGATACCAATATTTCAAATGTTACCTTGCAAATGAGATCCTTGGCATCTGCAGATATGTCATGAGTTTTAGGGAACAGCAAGTCCACTTTGACTATCCTGCTCAAAATTAATATTCCAGAGAATGTGTATCAAAGGAAGACCAGGCAAAACACACACTGTAGCTACAGAAACATTGTAGCTCTTACCTCATCAGGGTATCTTGCTGTTCTGCAGCTTCAAAGGGTGGCGAGCCATACAAAAACTCGTAGCACAGGATTCCTAAAGTCCAGTTGTCAACAGCGTAATCGTGAGCCTTTTTCTCTACCATCTCTGGTGCCAGGTAATCTATTGTGCCACAGAGTGTGTGACGTTTAGCATTTGATCGAACCGCCCATCCAAAGTCTGCAATTTTAAGTCGGCCCTGCAAAGTGGAAATCAAGTAACTTCTATAAATAGATTAAAAAAACTCAGCATCTTATGGACAGAGAAAGAGTTAAAAGTGTCAACAGCAATCAGCTCTCACATACCAATGTTGACAGCACAATAAAGGATAGTCTTTACTATAGTTTCTTATATGGATGTGGACAGCACAACTAATAAGGTGTCTGACAGTATTTGATAGTCACTATTGCGACAGAAGTAGCTCCTCAGTAATCTCGAGAAAGGTATACAGGATATGCATCTACAAAGTAACCAGGTGTTTACAATCATATATAGTACGCAAGTGCAAATCAGCATAATCATGTGAGACCAGCAGTATTTACCTGCAAAACGTGTACTATTAGTCAAAGAAAAGAAATGTGGCACCCATGTACATTGGTGGACATCGCATTCGAGTTTTAAAACTGTGGGATGTCAAATATTACACTGCACTGTTTTACTTATAAATAATTATAGAGTAAGATACCACGTATCTGCTATTTCGTCTCTGTTATACAGCTAACTGAAAAATACAAGCTATGTCTGCCATAACCTCAAAATTCTCTTCAATTGGATTAATCACCATTCACCAATGGCCATAAGTTCCAAACACACGAAATGTATAGTGCTTCAGTTACAAATGTATAGCTCCTGAAATTCTCCACATATATCTTCATAAAGTTTCAGCCTAAAAGGATATCTTGATAGTTTATGCTTGCAGTAAGGCCAAGGCAAATGGGATCTATTGTCTCTTTTATCTGATCTCACAAGTAATTTTCACATATCGGCCATATCTATAAGTAAAAAAACTAATCACAATGCACAAACATGCATTCCCACTCTTCCAGGAAACATACATGCATTTCATTAGAGCACAAAATGGTACTAAAATTACCTCAGCAATGCATGGGTCCAATTATTGTTTACTCCATCTGTTGGTAGGCATAATTTACTTTCCGCGAAAAAAAGGTAGGCAGAATTTACAGCAATGATGTAGTTGAATTCCATTGTTGATAAACATGGATGGCCAAGAAAAAAACAGTACATTTATCACTGGCATATCAAAATATTGCCCTATTTAAATTCTCAAAATAAGCACTTTGATACAATAACCCATAGGGGTGCAGCATCTGCATGCAGAAGAACCAACCTCGATATCAAGGAGCAAATTTTCCGGCTTGATGTCCCTGTGAATTACCTGCTTCTTGTGACAGTACGCCAGTGCACCAGCAAGGCTTGCTACATACTAAAGCAAAAGAAAATGAATTGGATCAACAGAAAATCCAGCACAACGATGGTAAGTCAGAAGAAAAGCAACATAGGTCCATCATGTTTGACAGCCTCATGTGCAGTATATCACAAACAGAGTACATGTCATACTAAGCAGACTGTTTGTTTGACTCATTACTGTTCAGAATATAGAAATACGATGTACTTTGTTTGGATCTTCGGGTTGGATGGTTTAGATCTCAGACTGGGTTGGAAGTGTCACTCTTGAGATGGGTTTTGTGTACAGAAAATGACAGATTTTCTTCACTCCATCGTTTATGAAGAGGGTGTGTGAGGCTTTTGCCTTGTGTTTCTAAAGATGTTCTGGAGTTCTTAAGAAGTTCTTCATCTTGCACTGATGTACAGAGATCCATCATACCCAAATAAAATGAATAACTCATGCCAAAATCCTTAACAATCAGACAGTTTACTGATTTCAACAAGGCATGACTAAACACATAGTATTGTTTTAGAACACCTACTAACAAATATGCTAAGGTAGAGACACTACCCTTTTCACTGATCTTCCTACCTCACACGACCTCAATCAAAGTAACTTCACCAGTGAAATGCTAGAAAAAGTCTATCGATTTTATGGGCATTTCTGTGGGGCGGTCAGAGCTCAAAAACGTTCAAGCTTCATTGCAGATTGCAAATAACAACTGGGTTGGTCGAATCAATAAACGCCGCACGGCTGAGGGAAAGACGGCAGGAAAGGGATGAGGAGGGCTCACTGTGGCGGCGGTCCGCTCCGAGAAGTGGCTGACGCTGCGGAGGAGCTTGTAGAGCTCTCCGCGGGCGGCATACTCGAGGACGAGGATGACTCGCTCGGCGTCGTGGAACCAGGCAAAGAGTCGGAGCACGTTGGGGTGGTCAAGGCCATGCTGGATCTCGATCTCCCGCCGCAGGTGCGCGTGGAACCGGTACTTCTGCAGCTTCGCTTTGTATGTCACCTTGAGCGCCACCACGTAGCCGCTCTGAATCGCCGCAGTTTTCCGCCGTGTTAGCACCATCGGAGTTGAAGTTTTTTGAGGGAATCGAAATTTGATGGTTCGGGGGCCAGGGTTTCAAGAGCCTACCTGCTTCTCGCGGCCGAGATAGACCTTGCCGAACTTGCCCTCTCCGATGAACTTGCCGATCTCGAAGTCGGAGAGGCTCCACTCCGGCCGCTCCATCAGAGGGGCGAGGACGATGGAGGCGCTGCTGGTTGGTGGAGAGACGTTAAATGCACCGATACGGATACGTAAATTCACCATTTCAGAAAATCGCCCATACGGGGATACATTTTACATTTTTTCAATTCACTAAAAATATGTATAGAAGCTAGGAACAGCAGATTACCTTCTTGTTTGCTCTCCTCAGGATGCTGAAGCAGCTCCAAGCAGCTCCAACTGAAAATGTTGATACCCTGTTCCAACTCCAGGTTCCAACGGGATAGTTAGACTTTAGTAAGTGTAAAATGAATATGGAGCAGCAAATCAAATAATTAGTTAGCTGTTATCATGGCATAACACGAAAGGTGGAACCGAAGATCAATCAGGTAACATGCAAAAGGGGAAACAATCACTTTAAACGGTAATATTTTAGGGCAGACTGTTAAAATCAACAACACAGCATAACAACTATATTCCCAATCCTAAACAAGATTTGGGACATCTATCATGCCCAACAATACCACTAGTACTAATGTTTTAACCAATTTCGGCCTGTATAACCAAGACAAGGCTCCTGCTCTCTCAAATTGCATGTTACTGCTAAGCTTTGATTTCAGGTCAAGACGGTGCAGATAAAACAACTTGATCTTTTCCTTTTCATATATCGTCAGTCACTGCATGTTTCACTGCTAACATGTTCAAACCAAAACATTTTCTCATCTGAAAAAATATTCAAACTACAATCTGTAAACATTTGCCCCTACAAGCATTATCACAAACACCTATCATGCAAAATCCTTTCACAAGTAAACTTTAACACGCACTGGAAAAAATCGTGCAGCAAGTACTCATCAAGAGATGGACATCGTTATATTCTCACAATATCCAATCTACCGCAAGTGTTCGTCCAATACATAAATCAGAGGGGGAAAATGGACAGACAGAGGATGCAAGAGGAAGGAGGGAGGGGGTTGAGGGAAGAGGGAGGAAGAAAGGAGGACGAAGGAGTGAGTGCTGGCTACCTGCCTATGGACTGGTCGCCGGCGTAGCTCCGGGAGGAGGCGTTGCTGGGCGGGAGCGGCTGCTCCAGGGAGGGGGGCGTTGCTGGTGGGAGCGGCTGCTCGACGGAGGGAGGCGCTGGTGGGCTCCTGTGCCGGCGGCGGGGCAGCGGAGGCTTCGGCCGGCTGGGCGCGCCGCGGCGGCGGGCTGGCAGTCGTGGCGGCAGGCCGGCGGCGGCTAGGAACCCCTGGCTGTCGCGCTCGGGAAGGAGGCCTCTCTGGCGTTCACTCGCTCGAGTGCCGGAACCGCTGCGCGTACGAAACTTCCATTTCCGATCTAGTAGGGACGATGCAAGATCCATTGGCCAGTACACGTTTGGTTCCGAGAGGGAGTGGTGTGTCCGACAGTCAGCATCCGATTTGGGTACGATGCAAGATCCAGTGACGCAGTTGAATTTGAATCGTCGTGCGATGGTCGTATGGATACCAGCCGCTCAACGGTTTGATTTGCGGCGTCGGACAAGGATGGTACACAAAGTTGTGTACGTACACCATCTATGTGGTCTCCCTTTTTTTATTACCGAAACGGAAACGTTTCTGGCCGGTCCGCCGGCTAACACTCGCGCCGGTCGCTCGCTGGCCATCGATCAACAAAACACTGCTCGCTTCTGGGCCGTCTGATCGAACATCACACGAGGTCCCACATCGCTCGCTAGCCACCTCATAATCAGCCCACGCTCCCTTATCTCGTTCTTTCTCTCGTGAAGCTTCCCAGGCTCCCAGCCATACGTTTCCTTATCTCCCCCACGTCTCTCGCACAGTGACTAATCTCTGCTTCCCCAATCTCTCTCTTCCGAGCAGCCGCACGCCGCTTGAAGCCCCGACGAGCCGCCCTGCTGTTAGCCGACCGGCCGGTGCACGGTGTGCTACAACCGCGATGCCGCGGAGTTACAACCGCAATGCCGCGATGCTTCAACCAGCAGGCGGCCGTGTAGCGGAGCGGGAAGACGCGCATCTGCGGAGGAGAACACGTAGCCCGTTCCAGCTCCGCCGTTCCAGCTCAAACCAGCAGGTTGATGCTGCAACCTGCGGTGGGCAACACCGGCGAGGGACGGTGTTGCGGTCGGCGCCGCGGAGCTACCATGGATGCAACACGAGGCAAGAGAAAAAGCTGCTTCGGTCAACGGCTTATTTGTTGCGAGCGACGGCAGCGAGCATCGGCGGTGAGCATCTGCGGCGAGGCAAACGGGCGAGGTCGACGAGCGTGGGTCGTCGGCGGCCAAGGACGAGCGGGCGCTGGTCTCTTTCCCCTTTTATTTTTTCCTGCTTTTTTTGCTGCAGCGTTTTCTGTAAGGTTGAAGAAGGAATCGTATGGTCTAGAAAAGCTAGATCGTGTGGTCCACGTGGGACCGGCCGAAATTTTCAGCCGGTGCGCCGGCGCCTATCAGTCGCCCTTACCAAAAAGCCTTTGTGGCTAGCTTTATATTACTCCCGAATACGTAACACTTGCATTGTCGGCTAAAAAATTAAAAATAAAACTAGGGAAGAGTCCGGCCAAAGCGTCGAAGGATAGCGTCTATGTGGTTTACCGTGAGCTGCGAATGTACTTTGGGCATGCAATACTTACACGGAATTAAACGACCCTCTTCTACAACAGAGATAGTACACGTTTTGAATTCTCAAAACATCTAGACAATTGATCTATGAAGAACAAACCAACCCGCTCCTTTGTGCATTGAACTTTTGAAATTTGTACAACACCTAAAAACAACCTTTGTGCATTATATGTTTTCAAGATAGGATGAAAAACAGTATAATGCTATTGTCCTTCTTCTTTTTCTTTTTAATTGTTTCCTAGTATCATCAATGTGATGATGATGAGTATACTTTTGCACTAATTCTATAATTTTTTAAACTGGATATTCCAAGGAAATCACCCCGATCTTATTACTAATGACTAATAAATACAAAAGATTGTGAATCTCGTTGTTTAATGTCTTTCCACGAGAAATAGACAATATAAGGGCAGAAAATGAAGCTATAAAAGGAAATATGAAGTATATATGGAGATCAAGCCACATCAACTGGACGCGCCACAGGCTAACTAGAGCCGAAGACAACGTCTGATACGAGCGTGAGTGCTCGTACCACCTGCCAACAACTCCATGACGTTGTCCCTCACGCGCTTCATAAAAGGCCCGAGGCCCCATTCGCAACAGAGAAGAGTCGAAGAGCAATAAAACCATCAGAGTCGCCAGGATCACCACCATTCCTAGAACCCTAGTTGTCGCCATTGTCGTTGATGATCTTCATCTCCATAGCCATTCTCCCCGTAGTTTGACACACTTGTAATCGTAGTGACATTGTAAGACTCTACACAATCATTCATCTGCAATGCCAATGTTTTCCATGGGTGATCCGATTGCGATGTGTGAGTAATCCCCTCAGGCCATGGGCTGAGGTAAAGCCTTGCAGCCCTATGTAATTGTGCATAGGATTATGCTTAATTGCACATAATTTGTATGTGTTATTCGCAACAGATTTGTCTATGGTCTCTTTCTCCTTCTACGAACCCGCATGTGCCCATATTCCTTAGATCGATCTAGGAGAAGATAAAGTGAAGGTACATGTGGAAGGCTACACCGTAGGTCGGTGACAATAAGGATTAGTACGGTAGCTGAAAGCAACTCTTCGGAGACCATGAGGTGAAGTCATTAAATGTCCAATGCTTGGATTGGGGAAATCCTTCATAATCGAGATGACGATAAGGGCCTTCATTGGACAATAGACTCACGATGCATGTTGTCGATCGGTTCTGACATTATTTGGACGCACCCCCCACATCTACACGTCGAAAACACATCATAACAGCGCCTACCAGGACCATGCATGTTGGAAATCAAGATAATATCCTAAGTGCAAGTATAAGGTTAAGTAAAGTCATCATGCCCCTAGCTTATTTCCATCCATACAAGTCTGTCTCTCAAAGTAAACCGCGGTTTGATCTGTCTAGGGAACTGAAACTTCTAACGACAATCATATCTTATTTGAATCCCTGTCTAACGGTAGTATTTCCTCCTTCCCATGAGCGGCTCCCAGGCGAATGAGGTTTTCCTTGCCTTCCGTTGTTGATCTGCCTCGTCTCCTATGGCCTTAAGGCCACGGAGGCGCAATGGATCTCGGCACCTTTACCGGCGGGAGGGACCTTACTTAGATTTTAGGTGTTTTGTGAGCTTGTTAAGGGGTTGTGTCCTGTTCAGGAAGGCGGGGTGGCGACTGTGACGCCCGGGTAATTAAACTACAATAATTCCCTGTTAACGATGCCACCATGATTACTGTTGTTAATCTTGCATTGATTCAATCCAGTTCAAATTCAAATCTAAAGTAAAGTCAAACAATAAAAGCTTTCAAATATTAAAACTAAAATGTTCGGTTTGTGCCAGATAATGCATAGGTGATTAAGGTGAAGAAACCCTACTTTTATAAAACATTTAAATTCTATAAGATGAATAACATAGTAGCGAAAACTATTATTTAAATACTTTTAAATAATAAATAATTACAAAACTATTTTAGTTTAGGTAGTTAGTTAATGTGGTAGTGGCATATTTGGTAACATCAAATTAGGTGCCATTTTGGTATTTTGCTAAAACAAAAATAAAAGGAAACTAAGCTAAAACAGAAAAGACATAAAATAAATAAAAGGAAAGAAAAAACAATAGAAAGGGAAAAAGACCCCCCCTTCCCTGGGCCAAATGGCTTAGCTAGCCAACAACCGGCCAGCCCATCCGGGCCGGCCCACTCCCTCGTTCCCCCTTGTCGCCTCCTTCCCCGCGCCCTATTCCCCCGACCGCGCCGTGAACAGGGGCGCACCCCCGCCGCACCACCTCTCCGTCCCTGCCGATGGGATAAGGCTGCCACGCCCACGCCTCCTCGGTTCCCTCTCCCACTCACCCCCGCTCTCCTCCCAGATCTCCGCCTCCCACTCGTTCCTCAGACCCGCCCCCGTCCGAGCGCTCCCATGGCCATGACCGTCACGTAGTCGTGGCCACCGTCCTCCCCGCACCGTGCCAGCGAGTCACCGAGCTCCCTCATCGCCCGCCT